ATGCTTTCTCCCTCAAATAAATCAGTATTTTTAAAAACTATTATCAGAAAATCTTTTGTATTTATGGAGATCATCTTACCCCCCTTTCTCCATTTATTTTGTTAAAGTTATTAATAATATTGATTTTGAAATGTTAAATAAATCTTTCATTCCTTGAATAAACTCCCTTTGTCAAGATGTCTTATTATTTTTATATATTACTGGGTTCAGTTAACTATTTTCTTTAGGGTTTTTATGAGAGAAATTGGACTGTAATTTTCCTTTTTTTTGAAAACGAGCGAGCAAGAGAGTAGGAGTGCGGGGGAGGAGCAGGGGGACAGGGAGAAGCAGACTCCCCACCCAGCAGGGAGCCTGATGCAGGGCTCTATCCTGGGACTCCAGAATTGTGATCTGAGCTGAAAGCAGATGCTTAACTGACTGAGCCATCCAGGTGCTGCATGTAATTATTCTCCTTTCTTTTAATGTCCTTAAGTTTTGGCATCAATGTTATGTTGACCACATAAAATACATTGGGAAGTATTCCTTCTTTTTCCATTTTTGGGAAGTATTTGTGGAAGAAAGGTATATTTCTTCCTTGTTTACAATGAAATGTCCAGAATAGGCAAATATAGAGAGACAGAAAGCAGATTAGCAGAAAGTAGATGAGTGGTAGAAGGTAGTTTAGGGCTATGAAGTTTGGGAGGAAAGTGGGAGTGACTGCCAAAGGGTACAGTTTCTTTATGGGATAGTGAAAGTGTTCTAAAATGGGTAGTGATAATATTTGTACAACTCTCTGAATATGAGAAAACCACTGAATTGCATGGTATGTGAATTATATCTCAATAAAGCAGTTTAAAAAATCTATCATTGGGGGCGCTTGGGTAGCTCAGTGGGTTAAGCCTCTGCCTTCGGCTCAGGTCATGATTTCAGAGTCCTGGGATCGAGCCCCGCATCGGGCTCTCTGCTCAGCAGGGACCCTGCTTCCCCCCCGCCCCCACCACCTGCCTCTCTGCCTACTTGTGATCTCTATCTGTCAAATAAATAAATAAAATCTTAAAAAAAAATCTATCATTGGACAGATTAGATACTCCTTGATCTAGACTTGATTAGATCCCCCTTCAATTTCGTTCAAAGAACAGATTGGAAACTACCTACCCAATAAGCAAAAGAACTGATACCCAATTATTCATGTTTTAGTCCCAATGCCAATATTTCAATTATCCCCTTCTTTGGTATCCTGAAGCATTGTGCAATGGACCTAGAAAGGTATTTTGCCTCACTAGTTCTCACGAAGATTGATTTTAGGAAATTCTTCATATGGAAGCATGCCTGCGTATCCTTAGAAAAGTCTTTGCATATCTCTACAGATAGAAATATCCTAGTTTGAAGACCACTGCATTCGGGTATACTGCCTCTTAGTAGAGGCCTGTGGGAGAAAATCAATCATGTCCCAGTATCTACTAGCTGTATGAAGATGTGTTCTACAGCAAGGCCTGTTGTTGGCCAATTAGGAAGAGCACTTGGGTTGCTGACCCAGACATGGGTACTTCTACAAGGTCAGCTTCGGTCCAGGATGTTTGCCAGAGATAGGGTCTCATATAGACAAACCTATCATCTCTGGAAGCCACAACAATGTAGAGAACGACCTAGACAAAATAACCTTGGTTTCACTCGGTGACACCAAACTAAATGTGGCTTAGCTCTACCTGAGGTCGCCCAAACAGTTTCTGGCAGTGACAGGGGATTTATACAGCTGGGGAACTCGATCCCTTGCCTTTCCCCTTTTACTTTTTCGTGGGCGAATTTAATCTTTGTACCTGCCATGTCCGCTGAGTGTATAATTAGCATGCTGACATCTGAACAACAGTGTTTCTCAGCTTTATTTAGGGGTGGGGATATTTTTTACGTTGGGTAAACTTAGGCACCCCTCCCTCAACTTCCTTATTATCCTGAATATGACAGCTCTTTAATCCTTAGAATGTCTGTCAAGGGCATAGAAATATCTGTACCCAGCTGTTAAAGTTGCCCTGCCCTTTAAGATACACATGAAACTGGCTCAATACCTCTCCTCCTTCCCCATCCCATGGGCTACATAAAGGTCAATGCCCTCCTTACAATTTCTGAAAATTCCTGAGAGACTTAGGCTCTGTATTCACCCGACTCCACCTCCTGTGAATATACTAGTTCAGGGTTGTCTCCCTCTCTCCCTTCTGCTCTGTCCCTTCCCTCCCCCCCCCCTTTTAAAAGATTTTATTTATTTGAGAGAGAGAGAGAGCACGAATGAGCTGGAAGGAGAGGGAAAGGGAATCTGAAGCCAACTCTGGAGTCCAACACGGGGCTGGATCCCACAACCACAAGATCATGACCTGAGCTGAAACCAAGGGTCGGTCGTTTCACGGACTGAGTCACCCAGATTCCCGTGGCTGTCCCTTTTCCACCCAGGTCAACCCAGTCAGGGAATTCAGAACTTGCTCTCATTTGGTGTGCAGGGTTGGGGAGAGATTCCTTAAATCCTATGTGTCTATCAAACTTCAAAGACATTTTGGGGTAACTGGAGGGACTTACTTCAAGCAACACAGCTCCCATCACACTGAATGTCAGACACCTGTGTTTTTAAGGTTCTCCCAGTTTCCCGCGTGGGGCTCCAGATTCCTGCATGGTGCTTGGCCTTCTCTTCTCATTCTTTTTTACCTTTTTCTGACTTGTCCATGCACAGCAAAAACCAACATCCCAATTTCTTAGGCACAGAAACTTCTTTTCTCAGCCCTTTCTCTGACGCTAGATATCTGTCCACATATATAGGACACAAAGTTAAAACTTCGTAATTATTATTTATAAGGATCTGCCTCATTAGGGTCACAGACAACCATTCTTTTCCTCTCCAGTTTTAGTTCAGAGAGTAAGGGTGGGGATTCTTCTTTGCTTTTCATATTGATCCGGAAAAATCTCTAGAATGAGGTATTGTATCTTAATAGAACAGGATGGTAAGGAAAATTGAGCCAGTCACAACTATTTACTGAGTGCCTGGTATGCTCCAGGCAATGAGCTAGGAGCTCGGGCACAAAAGGCAACAAAATCAGACACAGTTCTGCTCTTGGAAAGCTTGTGGTGCTAGCGGGAAAGAGGAACGTTAATCAAATAAACAAACAGAACAAAAATATGAGCGTCACACCAGGAAGGTGTGGTGCAGGTGCTGTTAGAATAATAAGCTACCAAGTGGGAAGTCTGGGAAGGGCTCTCTGAGGACGTGACTGCACAGCTGGGATCTGAAGGCCTAGTAAGAGTTAACTTGTGGGAAGGAGAAAGAACATTCCAAGCAGAGGGAGAAGTTCCCAAAGACTGTGCAACAACAGAAACCTCTGACAAAGGACTAAAAGAAGGCCCACGTGGCTGCGCTGCAAAAATGAACTGCACTGTGGAAAGCGATTAGGTCGCAAACGGTGGGTAAGGCAAGTTTCAAGTAGGGGGATGCTAGGCTCAGATTTGCATGTTGAAGTCTCTTTGCAATATAGAGGAAGGATTGGGATGTTCTCTTTTTTTTTTAAAGATTTATTTATTTATTTTGGAGCGAGAGCAGGAGTGGGAGGGGCAGAGGGACAGAGAATCCTCAAGCAGACCTCCTGCTGAACGTGGGGCCTGATGCAGGGCCTCGATCCCACGACCCTGAGACCATGACCGTAGCCAAAATCAAGAGTTGGCTGCTTCACAGACTGAGCCACCCAGGCGCCCCGGCCTGGAATGTAAAAGAGGCTTGAGGGGAGCTGTCAAGTACCTGAGGCACCCATGTGGAAACCAGCGACTGACATGATTATTCTAAATATTTATTTATTTAGAATAATCATATTGAGGTGTGTTTTAATATAATTTTTAAACTAAATGAATATATACACACATAAAATGTTCAAAATAGCAACTAGAACTGGTACTGTTAGGCTCGTAAAAAACAGTAGTCCTCTGACCATCCCTCCTCACACCCCATACACCTTCCACTAAGGATCCCTTCCTCTACTCGTAACTAGTCATCTGGTATTTACTACAATCCCTCTTTTTTCTTTTTAACATGATTTTCTTAAAGTGCTATTTATTTTCTAGTTTTAAGCATTGTTTACTTTCTACTAGGGAAGACAAGAATTTCTTGAGCTTACCCCATGTCCCACCATGCCCAAACTCTATTCTTATCCTGCCAAGAGTGAGCATTTGAAGCATTACTCGCATTTCCTTTTTATTCTTCCCATGTAAGAAAAGATACTCTGAGTCATTCATTACCTGACAAATCCATCAATCAATAAGGACAGAACTGCTACATTTCACTATAAATTGGTATCTTTGTGAGGACAGAAGTACCTTCCCTATACATCAGTCATAAACATATTTGAAGCAGCAAAAACGTGTACCCCATTAAGTAAAAACTGTTCAAATTTTGAAGTTGGCATAAGAATATTCAAGGAAATTACAGTTGAATTACATGTGCTGGTTAAAAGACATAATAAAGCTTTTTGCACAAGGAGGCCAAAGTAACCTTTATAAGACAAATGTCTTAGAAGTGTTCGAAAGGTCATTAATTGATGAACTGTATCCTCCACCCGTAGAGAAGCAAAATAGGCCTCTCTCTTGCTGCTGCAGAATGTGAGCTAGAAAACAAGTGGGTGATTCCCATGCAGAGTCTAAAAGGACAAGTCAGGTGTTTTGAGCTTCCAATAAATCAACCCCACGGAAATATGCAGAGATACAAAGATTTACGCCCAGGAATATTCACGATAGTATTATTTATATATAATGGAAAACAATCTCAATGCCCCCAAAGTAGGAAAATTATGTTACATCTATAGAATGGAATACTATAAAATCATTAAATTCATGCTTTCAAAGAACAATTAACATCATGGAAGAGGCTGATAATGTTAAATGAGAAAAACATTTGAGGTCAACCTACATGTAAAAGCATACACACATATATAAACATAGTATATTTAAATATATATAAAATATCTATGCACACTCAATTTTTTTTTTTTTTTAGTGCACAGAAAAAGACAGTTTTTTCTCCCAGTGTGGTTTGCTACCCATATATCTCAGAACCACCTAGACGGAGGGTTTGCTAAAAATGCAGATCCTTGGTTTCCACCCCTGACCAACTGAATTAGAGGTTTTGGAATCACAGCCCAAGTATTTTTGCATACCTACACACCCTTGTCCACCCACGTACTACCTTGTCCGCCTACGTACTACCTTGACTGATACTGACCCACACCTTCATTTGAACACCACTGAACAAGAAGTAGTTGCTCTCAGGGTGGTGGAATGATGAGTAATCATCTTCTTTCTGGAATCCTTAAAAAAGATTATCTATCAAGCGTATGCTGCTTTTTATAAATAAAAGCTCATTAGAAGTGTATTAGTGAAGCATGAGTATTAGAAAAACAGAGCAGATCTGGGGTCTACTTGGGCAAGTCTAAACACCTCCTGAGCATTGGAAATCTAAAGTAAGCAGGTACTTCTAAATCCCTGACAACTGAAGAGCCAGTTTATGATAAGGAAAACACTAAGCAGAGATATGGAATTCATTACCTCAATAAATTGTACAGGTAAAAAATGTAAATATAGTAATTTTGAGAAGTTATTAGGTAATAATATTTCTCCGTGTTCCAAGATGTTCCTTGGCGAAAGAGAATTCAGTGATCAAGTAAGTTTGGTGTACAATACATTTTCTAATCCCCTCTTAAGAGTCATATAACCATGAGCAGATTACAGGCTCTGGGAAGTCCAGTATAAGCTTCATTCATAATTCTAGCTCCACAAATTCTTAGAATGTGGCCTACCACTAAGAAAAAAATTCTAGGCCAGAAGAGAGCCTAAGAAGCAATTCTCAGCATGCATCTATAGCCTATGCTTGATCGATTCACTGTATCAATTTTTTCCCACATTCCCATGGTCTCTGAGGGCTTAGCCCATATAGTAGTAGGGCCTGACTCTAAGGGCACAGCTCAAGTCAGCTACCAAAGAATGCTCAAGAAGAGCAAAAGTGAGTGCCAGGCTACAAGATTAGAGTACTTGAAGGACCCGTATATTTACTTTTGTTTTTTACTATCTGTATCTACCACCTAGACAGTGAGCCTGAAATTTTTGTCTTACATTCACTTACGTAGTCCCAACGCAGTAAAACCTGGCACTGGCACTTAGCTGGTACTCAGTTGAACAGAGCACCACCAAACAGGTGGTCAAATTTTTTGGACAAATGCAATAATGAAATGGGCTAGGCACAAGTCCTAAACTTTAGGTCCTAAAGTTTATGCAGTCATATATCAGGCCTCATTTCATTCAATAAACATTTCTGAGTGCTTATTGTGAGTCGGTAATTCCAAGAATGCAGAGGTGACTAAGATACAGTCTTTACCCTTAAGAGCTCCATACAGTAGGACTACCAGCCAGCCATTCCCAGATGTACAGGTCTGGGCACACATTAGGCGTCTAATAAATACTTTTTTTAATTGAGTTCAGAAACCAAGATACATTTTAAGCTAGTCAAACTTTGGTGGCGCAAAAGCCTAGAGTAGGGTAGAATCAGACCATTCTGGAAACTGCTTCAGAATGACTGAGATCTTGAGTAATGAGACCCATCTTGATTATCACTACTCTAGAGACTCTAGAACCACCCAGGAGTCAAAAGTTTTTATGAGAGAACCCCCAGAACCCAAAAGAATTTAACAGTATATACCAAGATAGAATTTCAAAATATGTCTATTATAAAACTCTCAAGGTTCCTGAAAGGTTAACAGATAGTATGTGGTGGAACAGTACTGAGAAAGGGGTTCAAAACAGTTGACAGGCCCCTCTACTGCAGGACTTCTCAGCACCTGTAAGCAATGTGTGATGTTCCTTTTATGCACTGTCTTAATCTTCACAGCGATCCTACACAGTTGGTCTTACTAGTTTTTCCATTCTAGAAACGAGCAAGCTAAAGCTCACAAACACTAAGTAATCTGCACCAGACCACAAGGTACAGAACGGGACTCTGAAATCATGTCTTTCTGGCACCAAAGACAGGTTTGTGATCATTCAAGCAGTACTGTTTTTATGATACTGATGGGCACGAGAACGCCTCCAGAGGGACACACACATAAAGCATTTCCCAAACTGTGATAAGGAAATCCTTTTGAATGAATCTGTGCTTGAGACTAGCTTTCCATTTTGAGAAAAACTGTGGGTCAAATGAGTCAGAGATATCCCACGGCAGACAGAAGGGAGGTGGAAGGCAGCTCAGAAGGAAAAGCTAGGTTATTAAAACTGAGCTCAAAGAATTATTCATAGGGACACATAAATTAAACCTCAGCTTAATAGATACAATTTCTTTACCTCCAGATTCCTAAGTTATAGTTCATGGCTCATTTCTGTCAAATATCTGACATGGTATTACAACCCCAACATCTCCTTAGCTAGTTCTCTAATGTTTGTTTCAAGAATTTGACTTAACCAGTTCAATTCATGTCATTAATTTTGATAAAGCATATTCACACTGGGAGTATAATTTTTAACTTGCTGTGTATTTCAATAGGCCTGCAATTTGCATCTTGGGGTGAGATCATTTTTCATCGTACAAGACTGACCCCACCATTGTAGGATCTAGCACCCCTGGCCCCTTTTGACTAAATTTTAATGATACTCTTCTCCAGCCCCCACTCCATCATTTTGACAAGAAACACCCCCATAATTTCTAGGGGAATGGTATCACCCCCTGCTGAGACCCACAGGTTTAGAACGAACCAGAAAGTTCCAAAAAAACATTAATTGAAGGATAAACACCTACCTTGACCCTGCATTCAGTATTCCAGCAAACAAATCGTGATTTAATATGCTAGTTTCAATCCTGCATGTATAATGTCTCATTACATTTTTCTCTATTCTGTTAATAACATGGACAGATTCAACAAACTGCTAAAACACCATTTTTAGCCAAGAGGGCTGAGCTCTCTGTACTTTGCCAACAACACCAATAAAACTGGGCAGAAGCAAGCCCAGAACTGCATGGGGGTACTGGCTTATATCTGAGGCAGCAACCACAAAACTAAAAGTATACCTGAATAGTCTATCATTTTGTCAAATTTGGTCTTTAAGAAAGGTGCTGGTTTTTTCTTTCTTTTTAAAATGATTTATTATCAAAAAGCTTGCTCTCTCTCGCTGCTGAGTCAGTTCAGCAATGCAGCTCTATCCTTTTTAGGATTATTAGGACCCAAATAATCTTAGACCAAAACACCAACCACAACCACAACCACCACCACCACCACAACAACCAACTTGACTGCTGGTTCAGTAACATATTCACAGACATGTCAGGATGCATTCTGGAATACCGGGTTCATTTCTTGATTGGAATGCCAATCACCATAAAGTCTTCGGCTAGAGTCACTTCTTGGAGATCTAACACTGATTCAGCTTGCTTTTTTAGTTCTATAATCCCATCTGTTTCTCCTTCTCTGGCCAAGGCAACTGGTTTGTACCTCTGACTGAAGTGAGTCAGAACTAGCCTCTTCGCTTGGCACAACTTTGCAAATGTGGCTGCCATCTGTGGTGTGCTGTGGCCATGCTCCTTCGCTTTGTCCATCTGCGTGTCATCTAGGGTAGCTTCGTGGATCAACAGGTCTGCCTCAAAGCACAGCTTCACTCCTCCATCACCCACAACCCCAGAACAGTCACCCAAAATGCAGATTTTTCTTCCAACAATAGGCTTTTTTAAGACATCTTGGGGAGAAATTGTAACTCCATTTTCCAGAACAACAGAAATTCCATTTTTCAGCTTCCCATAGGCAGGACCTGGCGGCACACCTAATGATGGAGGGAGATAACATCACATCATGGGAATGGAATTTATGACTTGTTAAGAGAGTCTGTTTTAACAGCACAGCAAACGGAAAAGGCATCCAATTCTTTTCATAATTGTTATAAATATTTTACTACTCGTGGAAAGCTGGAATATTTATACATTTTTAAAAGTTCGGTGTTGGCTGTTGATATTAGTGATGCCCTAGTACTTAAAACATCTCCCAAGCACACGTGTCAGATGAGCTTTGAGCTTTTAAGTCCCACTAAGACTAAGACCTTCTTACAATCAAGCTACCAGCTTTGATTCTCTGCTATGAATGGAGTACCAGTTTCTGAGACTGCTTTATTGAACAAGCTCATGTTTAAGTAAATTTAATGAGTCCATTTAAATAATGACAAAGTACCTACAAACTGACTAACTTAATAAAAAAAATGGTTTGAGAGGATCATTTGGATCACAAGAGCAAGGAACATTTCTGACAATCATACATAATCAATCTTCTTTGTGGACAGAGGCAGTTCCTCTTGTTTAATTATCTTATAGTCATCTATAACAACACGTGACCATCACTTTGAACAACACCTAACAAACAAACAGAAAGTGTTCACTATTTCCAGCATGCACCCTGTTTAAAGTTTCCCAATACAATAGCATTTCCACAGGCTTTTAGATAAGAAAAAATACCTTTGGCATAAGTCACTTCTCTTCATTATTTAGTATTTTGTTTTAGTTGGGGAAGAAGGAAGAGATTGTATAAAGAGACAAATATACAAAAGAAACCATCATGCTTTTTAGGGGCTCTGCTGTGGCCATGAAAAGGAAGGCAGTGATGCTGCGGGTAGAAGGGACCTGGACGCTGCTTTGAGAGGACTGAAGACCCCCTCATGCAAGATAGCCTGGCCTGGAGGAGGTACAAAGCCTCAGAGGGGGCCCAAGTCTGTCTCTGTGCGCTAGCTCCCACCTATGACAAACCCAGGCGTGTGAAACAGTTGAGGCATGGTGTTCTGAACACCAGATTAACTTAATCAAGGTTGAATGAGTAGGCAAGGTTGACAAAGAAGGAAAACCCTAAAAGTAGCTGGTTGCAGTTGCACGGCTACCAACTACAGTAAAAATACTCGGGCCAAAGAGGTCACCGAAAACATACTTCAGAAGGAAGACATGAAAACATAAAAGCCTGGACCTAAGACAACCACCACCACCCTGCCAACCAAGCTAGCTAGCTAAAGGTAAGACAGACTAAAATGTGGATCCAGGGAGCTGAAGAGAAAAGGATTCACATATATATGTGGGTATGGGTCTGAATAGCATCTTTGGGCCCCACATATTTCCCTTAATAAACAAACTTTGGGCAAAAGACATAAGTGGAGAAAATCTCAGTTTTAGGCCTGGGAGACAGGAAACGAAGGTTATTATGACACTTCTAGCAGCTTCAGCTAACAACAGCTTAATTGATGAGGAGGAGGGGAAACAAAACAAAACAAAACAAAACATCACTTACCGAGGTCTTTTAGTTTCTGTGCATTGAGTTTACCTGGGCGTTTCTTCTCCACAACTGAAAACCCAAAGGAGGGAATTCGGTGAAAGAGGCGAAATGCTTTTACAACAAACTGTTCGTCATCAACCAAAAGGTATGAGTTTTCTTCTGAGTCTAAAAGGATAGTTCTTCCTTGTCCCTCTTTGGGATGGCTGTCTGTTTTATTCACGTGCATAAATTCTTTTAGTTCTTCTGGAGGACACTGATCTGCTGTAGGCACCAGCTCATGGACCACATAGGGGAAGACCAACTCTGTGTGAGAGAGTTCCATGATTCTCCAGATAAAGTCTCGAAGCCCAGCAGGGCCATAGATTTCAATAGGCTGTTTGGTGACCACAGAGCCACTCTGCAAGCTGATTGTGCAAAGGAGGCCAGGAAGGCCAAAGAAATGGTCTCCATGAAGATGTGTGATGAAGATCTTGGTAATTCTCCCTTTTGATTGAGGCAGAGAAATAAAATTTGCAATTTTTCCAGAAGTAAAAACCCATGCAATGCTACTTAAAACACCGAAAGCAGCAAAATGAATCTGGAGTTCTATTTATCACCATAAACTTATTTCGTTATATTTTGCTACATGATTCTAGAAGCAAGAAAGACAGCCTTTATGGTTTTAATAAGATATAACTTTTTTAATGAAACATCTTCAAATTACATAGTACTGTAGTTTTAAGAGTATTTTCCTACATTATCTTCTTGCTGAAAGAAAGGAAAGAAGGGAAGAATGCAGGCAGGCAGGCAGGCTGAATGAAAAGAAAAGAAAAGGAAAGGAAAGGAAAGGTAGGGAGGGGAGGGGAGGGAGGGGAGAGGAGAAGAGAAGAGAAGAGAAAAGAAAAGGAAGTAATAGAGAAAAGTAAGAAAGTGTACTAAAATAGTTCACTTGAACTAGACAGGCCTCAAATGTCAAAAGCCATCCGACAGTTACAATGCCCTCTGCTGCTTCCTCTGCGAATAACAAATACGTACTTCAGCAAAACAAACGCTCCCCTGGCTCCAACCTGACCAATGCTTGAACCCCAAACTACCATTTAAGGACTCGCCACACTGGACGAGAGATTAACCAAGAAAGAGCCTGCCTGTCTGAGTGAGTCTGAAGAGGGAGGAGAAAAAGGAAGATGATGAGGCAGGAGGGAGAAAGAAGGAGGTGGGAGAGGATAGAGGTGAAGAACCCAGAGGGGAGGTGGGCAACAGACGCTACAATGTAGATCAGAGGGCGGATCCTCTATGGTGTTATGTAAAGGTATGTGGGTCCATCCCTTCTCTTCAGTGTGAGCTAACACAATGTCTTTTTCAGTGCATACTGGCTTAGGTTGTAACTTGACTTAGCCAATGGTAAACTGAATTTACAGTTGGTATGTACAGGATGCCACATTAGCATTTTTCTGAGATGCACCAAGGCATTTTAAAATTAACAATCACAATGAACACAATTTTGGTATAACAGAGGCTTCTAGTCCTAGCTTCTTGGGGCACCTATTTCAAATATTTGATACCATAAGAGAACATGACCAGTATACTGATACCATAAAAGAATAGGAATAGTTTATTGCAAAGTGATTTGTCCAGCAACATCAAGGCAAAAGTGTTCTCCAGGTAAGCCTTCCAGAGTTAATACACCAAACCCAGGCCCCAGTGGCAGGAACAATAGAATGGACAGAGGCTGATTTGATATCTAGAGAATCCTGACGCACTCTAGAACTTTCCTCATTATGCTCCCTTTAGTTTTCTCTTTTAAGGCCTTGCTTTTACTGTCTTTAGACTTCTTGTAACCCTTCCATTCTCCCCTTCCTGCTGTCTGGGCTGCTGATGCACCCATAAGTGTGACCTGAGTCCTCTGCAGACAGAACTATGATGGTTACTGAGTCATGACCTCACGCTGACCTTACAACTGCAGAGTCCGACGTTCTGGGCCCTCTCCCTATATAGCGCACAACAAAGCCAACACTGAACACCAAAACAATCTGTGAGCCCAAAGTAAGTGAGACAAATTAAGTCAAAAATTTCTTCCCACAGTTATCACAGTTTCAGGGAAGACAAACATTTCATTTGTCAAGAAAGTTGATTTCAGAGGGAGAAGGAATGGCAACCATAACGATCAAAGTTAGAAGATGTTATCAAATGAAGAAAGCAGAGTACATGAATTCCCTTTCACTTGAGGAAAAGGAAGTTACAGGGGTATATATCATTCACAGAGAAGTGGAACACTAAACACCCCTTTAGGACACGGCTATATTTACCATCATAGGAAAACACCTGCAATATAATTGTTCAGTCGAAAAAAAGCAGGTTACGCCTGGTATGATACCATTTGTGCAAACTGTACACACACACAAATACACCTATGCCATTAACATATCCACATCTACAAAAAAAACTTACCTATAAGGGGAATTCAGGCTTATTTTATGTTTCTGCTTTGTTTGAATTTTTACAATGAGCATGTATACCTTTCCTTTTTAAGTTTTTATTTATTTATTTAAGTAACCTCTCCACCTAACGTGGGGCTCAAACTCACCACCTTAAGATCAAGACTTATATTCGCCTCTGAGTGAGCCAACCAGGTGTCCTGCACGTATACTTTTTATAATCATTTCATTACACTTTTGTAATACTTTAAATAATCATTTTTAAGGGAATAAAAAGGAAGGCTTAAGCTCACGCTTTAAAATTACAAAAGAGGGCACCTGGGTGGCTCAGTTGGTTGAGCAACTGCCTTCGGCTCAGGTCATGATCCTGGAGTCCCAGGATAGAGTTCCACATCAGGCTCCCTGTTTGGCGGGGAGTCTGCTTCTCCCTCTGACTTCTCCCCTCTCATGGTCTCTCTCTCTCAAATAAATAAATAAAATCTTTAAAAAATTAAAAAATAAAATAAAATAAAATTATGAAAGAAATAGACATGACAGACCCACACTCGTTGATCAGATGCTTGCACATGAGGACCAAGGAAGCTTAAAAGAAGTATGTTTAGATAAACAAAAAGTAATCCCTTATGAAACTCATAAAATATTATTACCCCAGGAGGACTACAAGCTGAAAGGGTTTCAACGGATCAAATAATGGTAGGTCCGTATTGCATTGAGAGTACCGGATGAACTGAGTACTCCATTCCAGTTTGAGAATGGGGGCTTTTGGAATGCTATAGAGTCATAGTTAAGATTCTGTGATTATCATCTTACCCTCTTCTCTGAGGCCAGGAATTTTTTTAGCCAGTAAGAATTTAGTAAACTAAAGGTTCCCTTAGGCTTTATTTTATTTATTCTTTGTGAGGCTTAGCTTTGCAAAAATGTTTACTTAAGACATATATAGGGGCGCCTGGGTAGGCTCAGTGGGTTAAGCCTCTGCCTTCGGCTCAGGTCATGATCTCAGGTCACGAGCTCGGGATCGAGCCCCGCTTCGGGCTCTGTGCTCGGCAGGGAGCCTGCTTCCCCCTCTCTCTCTGCCTGCCTCTCTGCCTGCCTCTCTGCCTACTTGTGATCTCTCTGTCAGATAAAGAAATAAAATCTTTAAAAAAATTAAAAATAAAATAAAACATATATAAAATATAAAATATTGGAGAAAGGTATTGTAGCAAATAGACGTGAGGTGGCGGTCCATAGCCCCTACCTCTTGATGTTCACATCCCTCTACAATTCCTTCTTCTTCGGTGTGGGTGGGACCTGTGACTTTTCTAACCAGGCAAATGCGACACAGGGATACGGCTGATTACATTAGAAGACTCCATCCTGCTAGCAGGCTTGCTCTTGAGTTTCCTTCACCCTGGCTGGCAGTAAGGGACCAAACTACCATGAAGCAAAATGAACATGATCAAGAACCAGAGGCCTCTAGGATCTGTGCCAGTCTTGGTCCTACAACTGTAAGGATTCTGCCAACAACTCTAGTGAGCTCTGAAGCAGATTCTCCCCCAGTGGAGCCTCTGATGAGATCCCAACCCTGGTCAAACATGGACTGCAACCCAGTGGGACCCTGAAGCAGAGAACCCAGCCAACCCAGGCCCAAACTCCCTGACCCACAGAAACTATGGATAATAAATGCAAGTAAGACACTAAATTTGTAATCGGATATGCAGCACTGATAAGTGGGACAGGTATTAAATAAAAAGACTATCCCCACACCCAAACCTCTGGCACCCACACTTAAAAGTTTCTTGTTTCTGTTTTCATCACCCCACACCCTCAATCCCTATTATCTAAAATGTGAAAGATTACAGCCTCCACTCTTATAGGTAAATTTTTTTGTAGATGTAGAGATGTTAATGGTATAGGTATATTTGTGTGTGTGTGTGTACAACGTGCATCCCTACTTTTCTCACCAGAGAAGACTTCTAATCATCAGTTAGATCCTAGCTCTACTATTACAATTTCTGGGATGCTTTCTCTGAACACATAGCTGATGCCCCCCTCCTTTGTGCTCCAACAGTATTTAGAATATAGTTCCACTGTTCTCTTTATCACATTACACTATGTCTATTAACATACCAATTTCCACCACTAGACTATGAGATCCTTAGATGTTAGAACTAACTTTATTTCAGTCATCAATGCCACACATTGTAATGAATCACAGGAATAATTTCAATAACTATCATTTATCAAGACCTAGTAAGTGAGAAGCACATACTAAGTGCTGAATACCTTACTCATGCATCACCTGAAGAATTGTTTATTAGACATCTACTAGGTATACACACAATCCTTGAGCTTACTCTATCATACAGGGGAATACACAATAAACACAGAAACAACTATTTAAATAACAATCTTAGATACTGATGCTAAGAAATCAATAAAAATAGCACAAAGAAGTAGAATACCTGGGATAAACAAGGAATAACTTAACCCCAGAGGTTCAGGAGATGGCATTTGAACTAAGATTTACTGATGAGAGAAGCACACAGAGAAGGGATTATTTTATATAACTCTTACAACATCCCTTCTAAGTTGAGTTTTTATCTTTATTTTCAAGGTTAAGAAAATAAACCTTAAGTTTGTTGATCTGCTAAGGCTATAAGCCAAGACACAGCTGGGACTGCAACCCAGGTTGGTCTGACTCTGAGCCAAGGCTTTGTACCACTGCATTCCCTGGCCTGGTGGAGTACTCTGGTGGGCCTTTGCTCATACCATTGCCTCTGGCTGGCATGCTCATCTTCTCCCCAGCCCAGCAAATCCCTCCTCCTCCGATAACTCAAGGGTCACCTTCTTTTAGATACCTACCCTGATAACCACAAATGAAAAAGAACATCTCACTCTCCTGAGCATCTACAGCTCTTTATACCCTCTTATGATACTTACAACTATCTCCTGGTGGAAATAAGTGTGTACACTGCTCCTCTGCTTCTGGAGTATCTATGTAATATGCCTCATGTATCCCACTCCATCCTCCACCCCCAAGCTTATATAAATCCTTGCTCTCAACATTTACAGGAAGAACAAAAACTAAATAAACAAAGTTCAATGGATGTGGCTGGATGCCTGAGGGCCTTGCGAATCTGGCCAGGGCTCTAGCACTGAGGTAGGAATGCAACTCTTGGGGCTCTTTCTGAGCAAAAGGCCCAAGGAGAGCCAAGACAATGAATAACTAATAGTCTTAATGAGATAGCTGAAAGCACACTAACCTGCTTTAAGTTGGCTTTTCATAAGCTGTGTCTGTGTCCCCTCCCCACAGTCAAAGAGCCAGCACTCGCCCTCACACCGAAGGACCAGAGCAGAGGCACCCCGGGTTGGGGAAGGGTATGCTGCACCCGTACCCAGAAATGTCACATCCATAGACATCTTCCACCCTGCAATGAAAAGATCATCCAGGGATTATTACACATCACTGCTCAAAATCACCAAAAACATGTTCTTTTGAGATTTACTGTTATTTATGTTATCCATAAGTATTATTTATAAATTATTCAGAAAAGACTGGATTCTTGCTCTCTAATAGTTTCCCAAAGAAACACCAAGTAAGATTCTAATAACTCTTAGTGAGTTAAAACCACAAGTTACCAAACCTTGTATGACTGCTCACACACACACACACAAAAACAAGTTAAAAAACTGCCAAATCCAGTCAATTAAAAACTATAGTTGAACCACAACTATTTAATATTCTGGAAAAGGTAAAACTACGGAGATAATAAAAACACCAATGGTTGACAGTGGTTTGGGGAGGAGGGAAGAATGAGTAGGTGACGCACGGGGGAAAGGTATTCTCGTATTACTAGTGGTGGAGGTATACACTGCTTTTGTGTTTTGGGATAGTAAGCTGGCAATATACATTACCAAAAATAACGATGCTGCTATTATCAACACGTTTTAACCCACAACCCCATTTTTGAGAATCTACCCTACAGAAATAAAGGACCTATGTACAGTGATGTTTCTGGTGGTACTTTTAAGGTGGCTAAAATTTGGAAGCCATCTGAATATATTTCAACAGGGAAATGACTGAATATTTTATTGTACATTCAGAACTATTTGTTCTGCACTTAAGTCAGGTCTATAACTCTTGTCTTGGAGGGGTGACAATGATAAAAGGTATAGATGGCTATGGCATGATCTCATTTTTAAAATGCCCTGAACTGCTGCATTTACATAAGACAGAGAAAGAGAAGGTCTGTGTGGAAGGATATACACCATACTGTTAATATTGGTTATCTCAGGGGTGATTAAAATGGTGATGGTGGGGAGTGGTTAAGTTTTCTTTTAAATCTTTGGATTGGTTTTGGTTGCAATGAAAAGCATTTGATGTCTTTATTTTCAATGTATTTTATATTTAATTTATTTAATATTGATTATTTAAAAGAAATGTGTCATAAGGCTGAACATACTTTTCTAACTATACATCACCTAATCTTTCTTACTATTTGGAGATACAATCAGCCCTCCTACCCCATCGCCCCACACACACCTCACACATACAGATGGTATATCTCTCCAACCCATGCACAGGTTTTAGGTAATTGCTAGTGTCCCTTCCATGTGTTACTCCACACTTTCACTTCCAAGATCAAGCCTCCCTCTGATAATCAGGTAATTTAATTTGCAGAGGCTTTCCTGTTGGATTGCAGTTTTCAACAGAGGTGAGAATAACAGAATGTGGAAAGTTAAACATTTTAAAAGCTAATAAATGCAGAAGGAATAATAAAATATAATCACTTTGCAATCCTTAACAAATAATGGATCTAGGCCACTGGTACAGAACCCTTGAGCGTATTAGAATTACCTGGAGAGCTTTTAAACCATATCAATAATTGGGCTCCATCCCAGAACAATTAAAAAGGAATTCTGCAAGTAAGACATGTGTTTTAGTATTTAAAAAAAAAAAATTCTTCCCCTGTGATTCTAATGTGCAGTCAGGTTTGAGAATCACTTAGTGAAAGGCTAATGGAGAACTACAAAGAATAGATCAGGCTGACCTAAATTCACTAGTCAAGAAGTCAATCTTAAAAAAAAATTTTTTTTATTATGAAAAATTTCAAACACAAAAGTAGAGAGATTAGTGTAATGCATTACCATGTAACCATCACCACGCTTCAACAATTATCAACTCATGGGCAATCTTGTTTGGTCTATATCCCCCATATACCTGATTAAGTGGTATTTGGTACTTCCATTAGGAAGTTCATGCTGTCTGGCTGTCTCTCTCTTTCTGAGGTTAACAGCCACTAACGTTCATTGTCAGGATTCACTATTTCATTAGAGGCTGCCAAAAGGTGATATTCTCTCATTCTTCTGAAGTTATTAGGGGCATCCTTCTGTAAATCCTGGGTAAATTTAGTCACCCTGCAGTGCAATCTGTACAGAAAAGGTCCAGTGACCAATATTAACACCACAAAGAGAAACAAGATCTTATCTAACTCCTGGTGTGCTGCAGTATGAAGTACACAATAACCCGATGAAGTTTTCTTGCCGAAAAGTAGAACCTGAATCTGAAAAAAACTGTAATCCAAACACCAGTTTATTAAAGGACACCACAGGGATGGAAGAAGCAAAAACCAACATGTAGGAAACGTCACAGAACAATGAATAGGTTTTTTTAACAAGTAAAATACAAGGGGAAAAAAAGCCATAAGATTAAATGAGATTGAAAAGAGGTCAACCAAACGTGGCATGTGTAGCTTGCTTGGACCTGGATTTGGACAAACTTAAAAAGAGAAAATGGGATAAAAAGAGAATTGGGAGAAAAAGAGACAAGTGGGGAAACGTAAACACTGGCTGGATAAATGATAACATGATATGCTTATTAAATTGAGAATGGCTTTGTTTTAAAAAAGAGTTATTCTGTTTTACAAACATAAGCAAGTATTTCGTGAATAAAATGGTACACTCAGATCTGCTTTCAAATAATCCAGTGAGGTGAGGGTAACAGATGAAACAAGACTGATCTTATTTTCCTATGTTTGAAATTTTCCATAATAAAAAGTTTAAAAATGAGCCAAATAATCAAAACCTTTCCACCAGGTCGGGAAGGAATCAGAAGTTAAATTTGCTTAATCAATGGTCCATGTTTTGTGACATGCGCCATTCGAGGCACCAGGAATTAAAAGCAACCAGACCAGGCTGGGTCCCTGTCTTCTTGAACACAAAAGCAGCCGCTTGCTCTCATGGCTATGATCCACCTTGGATCAAGTGCACATTCCGGCCGGCCGAGAACAGAGCACACGTCCACAGTGCTGTCACCTGACATTCCTCGGGCCAGTGCTTCTCGTCCCCGCTGCATATCACAATCACCTGGTGATTCTGGGGACTCAGCATCTGGAAGGCATCCCAAATGACTCTAAAGGTTGCCAAATTGAGAACCAGTTTCCATGGAGGCAGCGCCAACCCTGCAATCACCCTGTGGTACCGGGAGGGCGGATACTGCCTTCCTCCATTTTAGAGATGAAAGAACCGTGGACCGGGGAGAGACAAATGGAGAGGCCAAGGCCGAGTCCGGGCCAGAGGCTAGGTCTCCGACCACCTCCGAGCCCAGGCTCTCCCCCAAGTCAATGTCAGTCTCCCGAATAGGGGTGGGCGGCGGCAGGGGCGCGGGGCGACTGGGGGCTCCCGCCTCGGGGTAGGGGGTAGACAAGGCGCGTCCTCGCTCCCCGGGGCTCCCCGGGCCTGGGTCGTCCACGCCGGACCCGGCCCAGGAGTCCGGAGGAAGCGTGCCTGCCCGCGCGTATCGGCCCACTAGGCGGACGCGGGGCTGGCGGCAGCTCAGACCCTGGCCCTCCCCTCTCCAGCGCGCCCTGTCCCACTCACCCACTCCCCGAGGCCCGCGGCAGGAGCCGAGGGAGGCGCAGGCCCGCGGCAAGGCCCAGCCGTCCACCGGGCGGCGCCGGCACGGGCGGAAGTGCGCCGCGGGCTGTGACCGCGTGTGGCCGCTCTAGGACCAGGCGGAGGTCCGCGCTCGGTGGTGCCAGGCCAGGCCGGCCAGTGCGTTTGGGCTCGGCGCTGATTGCGGGCACGCTCTTGGTGCCCACTGGTCCCCCGTCCGCCTTCACTCGTCCGCACAATTATCTGAGTAAGGTGGTAGTGGTCACCTGTGAGGACCAGAGCCCTCAAAGGGGAAACGTTTACTATTTATTACTTTTGTTTTCCAGCGTGCTCCTCGAAGAGTGTTGTCCCCGATACTTTGTTCCCGCATAGGTTTGTGTAATTTCTATTCTTTCGCTGGGATGAGTCTGTTTTTAAATCACTAAATCTAAACGTTTAAGCCCGCGATGCCTAAGAAAAAGCAATGTGCCTTTGAATCAGAGTTCATGGCAGCATTACTGTAGACCCCGAGCCTCCCTTCTGTTCCACTTTATTTAGGGATTCGCCGCAAGCCTTGCAGGTGTGTTTTCCTTGGGCACAGCATAGCCTGCTGGACGGTCGAGTGAAAAGCCCAGGCCTGCTCTGTGCAGAAACTGAACGTGGTGATTATCAGTAGGACAAAAAACTCGGTTTAAATTCCAACTTAAAAAAAAAAAAAAATGCTATTTAAAGCTCCTATGCAGTGCCAAATGGCACAGATTTTTGCTGGACATACTTGAGGTGGTCAAAGCATCCGGCAGCTTCATAACAGGAATAGAGGTGCTGTGCCTATGGAGTCTTTGAAACCCCCGGAGAGAGGAATCAAGAGCCATGTTGCCCCACCCCCTCTGCTTTGCCCAATAGACCATTACGTATTTTACATTTTGGCCTCTTCTAAGCCTTCATTCAAGTATTAATTGAGCTCTAGCTTTGTGGATCGTGTTGTTTTTGCGGCCAAAAGAGTTTTTTAAGTATGTTATAGTCCCTGGTTTTAGGAGTATACACTGAGGCTGGAAAAGTATGTATTGGGAAGCCACCAGCTAACAATATGAGGGAACAAATGAGAAGACAAAATGAATAAGAATATAGGCAAAGGGAGATTAGTGGATATGCAGTTAGTTAAGAAAAGGTGGGACTTGAGCTGGGTCTGGTAGGGTGGGTTGAGATTTGGATTGGTGTTGCCAAAATGGAACAGTAAGTTGGATTTGGTCACAGGGGGTCTCACTTAGCCAGTATTAAACACCAGAACTGGAACTTTATTTATCCTGACACTTGCTTAGCTCAGAAGCTCCCAGGAAGACACACATCATTCCACAGCTAGGTCCTGGTCGCAACTGAGCTAGGATAGGGGTTGCCCACAGCAGTACTTGCCACAGACTCCTCCACTCTGGGTCTTTCTGCCTACCCATCAAGGCTTTCTACAACTCTTCTCCTCAGGGCTGTTATATCTTTATCACAGATAGAACTTTTTGTTTATTTTTATAACTTTCCATTATATGGGGTGCCTGGGTGGCTCAGTGGGTTAAGCCTCTGCCTTCAGCTCAGGTCACGATCTCAGGGTCCAGGGATCGAGCCCCAGATCGGGAGAGAGCCTGATGCAGGGCTCAATCCCAGGATCCCAGGATCATGACCTGAGCCAAAGGCAGAGGCTTAACCCACTAAGCCACCCAGGTGCCCCACATCTCATAACTTTTTGAGGCTCATTTGTTCAAGTCAAAAAATAAAAATATATGATAAAAATATCAAAAGTCTCTTTTAAAAAACTTAACTACGATGCTATCATCTCACCTGATGATTTGTTAAAACACCCAGTTCCTTATGAATATCATCTAATAACTGTTCAGTGTTCAGATTTCGCTAATTATTCCCGAAGAGTCTCATATGTAGGTGGTTTGTTTGAATCAGTATTCAAAAAGAGTTTACACTGGGGGTGCCTGGGTGGCTCAGTGGGTTAAAGCCTCTGCCTTCAGCTCAGGTCATGATCCCAGGGTCCTTGGATCGAGCATTGGGCTCTCTGCTCAGCAGGAAGCCTGCTTCCTCCTCTCTCTCTCTACCTGCCTCTCTGCCTACGTGTGATCTCTGTCAAATAAAATAAATAAAATCTTTAAAAAAAAAAAGTTACACTGCTTATAGTATAAGTCTCTAAAGTTTCTTTCGAACTTTTTAAAAAACATTTTTTAAAACTTACTTGAGAGAGAGAGAGAAAGAGAGAGAGCCCAAGTGGGGAGAGGAGCGGAGGGAGAGGGAAAAGGGGGGAGAATCTCACGCAGACTGTGCTGAGCGCAGAGCCCAACACGCAGCTCAATCTCAGGACCCTGAGATCATGACCTGAGCTGAAACCACGAATCAGATGCTTAACCAACGGAACCTCCCGGGTGCCCCTCTTTTAACTTTAACAGTTTCTTTTCCCTCTGCTTTTTTCTTGTAATTTATTTGTGGAAGAAATGGGGTCCTTTGTCCTCTAGAATTTCCCAAATTTTGGACGGGGCTGATTGCATCTCCATGGTATCATTTAACATGTTTCTCTATCTCTTGCATTTCCTATCACATGGGAATTACATCTAGAGGCTTGTTCTAAGCCTTTTTAGCAGACAGAGCTAATATATATATATTTTTTTTTTAAGTGAAGTCACAAATTCATGCTGATTTTTTTCAACTCAAGTGTAAGATTATAGAGTTTTTACTTTTCTTTAATTGTATACTGATGTCACTTATATAAAAAAAACTTGGTTCCTAATAACATTAATGTAATTTGATTTAGCTCCAGTAAAGTAGCTCCAGCAAATCATGGATATATGACACTAGGTATGTATGGTCAAAAAACTATTTTTAGGTTACTTAAGAATTTTTTTTTCCTCTGTTGTTATGCCACCAACCTGATACACAGGTAGATTCTTTTATTTATTTTCCACTTTTAGGTATTTCTTTTAAATTTTTATTTAAATTATGTAAATTACTTACATGGGTTCCAAAGTCAAGATTATATTCAGGAAAGTATTACTTCCTTCCCTGCATGGATGACACTTGATTAAAAATCAAGTTAGAGGAACTTCGACTATGACAGCATGAAGTGCTCTATGGGCCCTATCCCCAGAAAAACTGGTTAAAGTGATAAAAAACAAAACAAAACAAAACACCACCACCAAAACAAATCAAAACAAAATTAAAAAAAAAAAAACAAAACCCTACAATCATTTAAAATCCCTGGAAATGATCCTAAGGAAATTTAGCAAATGAAGAAACTTTTTTTTTTTTTTCCAAAAACTCTACCAAAATTTGGTAGGAACAGTGAGAGATAATAGTATTTGAACTGAGATCTGCTTCCCCCGCTTTCCCCTCTTAATCAGTGAGACCAAACCTCCACTCTAGGCTGGTGCAACTGACAACACAGTTCTCCCTGTCCTCCCAGCTCACAGTCAGAGAGCTACCTTCTCGCAAGGGCTGGCACAGCAGTGTTTCTCCTGCTGCCCCCAGCTGCTGGTTGGTGAGGCTAAATTCCAGACAAGTGTTGCTAAGAGCTGGGATGGAGGCTTTAGTTTAGGCATGGCCTAGTGAGAATACAAGGGCCCTGACTGCCTTGCCCTGGCTCATAAAGTGGTGGTTCCATACAGGGAGAGGCCAGCCAAAAAGACCTGAAGTCTCTACCCCACTCCTCAAGTGCCCAGCTCCTAAATTGGTGGTGTCACTAAATCAGTAGCATGCCATTGTCTCCAACTCCACAGCATTAGCTCAGAGATTTTGCCTGGAGGGAGAAGTGGACCGAAAATGTACCTTCCAAATGTACCTTCTCTTCCAAGATGTTGGCTTCACTTAGAATAGACTGTGGAGGGCGCCTGGGTGGCTCAGTTGGTTAAGCGACTGCCTTCAGCTCAGGTCATGATCCTGGAGTCCCTGGATCGAGTCCCACATCAGGCTCCCAGCTCCACGGGGAGTCTGCTTCTCCCTCTGACCTTCCCCTCGCTCATGCTCTCTCTCACTGTCTCTCTCTTCTCTCAAATAAATAAATAAAATGTTTAAAAAAAAAAAGAATAGACTGTGGAGACCTCAGGCTTAAGGGCACTCTTAAAATGAATGGAGATGATGGTGAAAGGAAAATTGGTAGAATCATTAGACATTCAGGCTAAATTGTCAATTTACACATTCAATGCAATCCCTATCAAAATACCATCAACTTTTTTTCACAGAGCTGGAACAAACAATTCTAAAATTTGTATGGAGCCAGAAAGACCGCGGATAGCCAAAGTGATGTTGAAAAAGAAAGCCAAAGCTGGAGATATCACAATTCCAGACTTCAAGCTCTATTACAAAGCTGTAATCATCAAGACAGTACAGTACTGGCCCAAAAACAGATACATAGATCAATGGGACAGAATAGAGAGCCCAGAAATGGACCCTCAATTCTATCATCAACTAATCTTCGACAAAGCAGGAAAGAACATCCAATAGAAAAAAGACAGTCTTTTCAACAAATGGTGTTGGAAAAATTGGAAATGCAGAAGAATGAAACTGGACCACTTTCTTACACCATACACAAAAATAAACTCAAAATAGATGAGAGACCTAAATGAGAGACAGGAATTTATCCAAATCCTAGAGGAGAACACAGGCGCAAACTCTGTGACTACAGCCACAGCAACTTCTTGCTAGACATGTCTCCAAAGGCAAGCGAAACAAGGGTAAACATGAACTATTGGGACTTCATCAAGAT